GGGTGTAGGCAGTGGGTGCTGTTACGCAAAAACCATGATAGAGTGAAGCCCCGGAAGTCGAAGCACGAAGTGGCGAGGGTTCTCTGTATTGGGATCCCCGCCTTCTGTGTTGAAAATGACTGCTTTAGTTTAGTTTTCAGTTAGCGAAAACACTCACATGAGTCAAATACTGAATAGAGTCTATTCAGAACGTTCCAACTTGCGCTCCCTCCCCTCTCCCCATGCTCCCACCCTCTGGTGTGCCCGTGGGCATGTGCCCTGGAGGTCACACCATAGTGTCCAGTGACACGCGGTGGAGTGGCCCCTCCAGGGACAGAACGGGCCAGCAGTGCTGTGCCTTGCATCAGTTCTGAGTCATAGCGACCGTGTCCACCAGAATGGAACACTGCCCAGTCCTGCGCATCCTCCGTGGTGCTACGATCGAATGTCCTTGAGGCTCCTCCTCTTTCATAGGCATTCCCCCAAGGCAGAGGCGAACCAAGTACCCTTGAAAACCACAGTGGTGGGGAGAAATGCCAGGGGCTAGTGGACACCAGTGCAGGAGTGGGGGCCTACCGTACGGACCCCCGGACTCTGCCCTTGCATTCCCAAGCCTCCGCCCACCTCGGGCCGAGTGGAGGGGACCCAGTGTGGAAAGCTGCCCTGCACTGCCCTGCCTGTGCTAGCGCCACCTGGACCTGTTCTCCTGGCAGGTCACCTTCCGGGGGAGCAGCGGCAAGCCCCTGGCCGTGCTGTGCCTGGCCGTGGAACCCCAGCCCCATGTGGTGGACCAGGTGTTTCGCTTCTACCACCCCGAGCTCACCTTCCTGAAGAAGTCCATCCGCCTGCCCCCGTGGCGCACACTTCCGGGTTAGCCCCCCTCAGAGCACTTGCCTCCTTTGAAGGGCCTCACCTTCCCCGCCCGAGATGTTCTTGATACCTCGGTGCACATTTGTGGATCAGACCCCGGGGTGGGGGTGGGGGCTGGTGTTCTCCCAGCAGACGTCTTCAGAACCACCCTTGCGAGGCGGGACCACCTGCTTACGAGGGGTCCGGGCTGGAGAGGAAGGGGAGACAGTGGTGTTCATCCATCTGCCTGTTTTCCTGCAGGCCCTCGTGAGCCTGTGTGCCGGGCCAGGCCTGGACACTGGCTGTTTGCCAGCTGGGCCTGCCTGCCGAGGTACACGTGTTTTCTCTTGTGTCTGCCCCTCCAGGTGCCCCCGTGGGAGCACCCGGCGAGGACCCCCCGGTCCACGTTCGATGTAGTGACCCCAACGTCATCTGTGAGACCCAGAATGTGGTATGTCTGGTGGGGCCCCACCCCCACCCCGCCGGCCACCCTGCCTCGCAAGGGCTGGGCTCTGGGCGTCCTCCCAGCTGCCGAGGGCCGTACTGACGTCCTCATGAGGGCTTGTGAACGAACTTTCATCCCCCCGGTCCCCCCACTAGCGCATCAGTTCCTTAATCATCTGAATTTAAATTTAAAAAAAGAAAAAGGTATGTAGCAGAGGGAATAGAGTGGATAGTAATTAAAGCCTTTATTAATTGCCATTGTGGAAAGAATAAAGGCAGTAATTGTATTAGGGTTGATTAGGAAATTGGATGAAATCTGCAGATTATAAGGATCAAAATCAATATAAAATCAAGAAGGTAATGATTTTCTCTTTTGCAGTGGACAAAAACGAGCCCGTGGATAGTGACTAACACAGAGATGGGGTGTCTGTTGGGGCGGGGGCCTGGCTGCACCTGCTCTCTCTGCTCTGATCAGGAGGCGGACTGGGAGGGCAGGGCCCACATGGTGTGGGCACCACTGGCCACACTGTCTGTTGGCAGGGCCCCGGGGAGCCCCGAGATGTGTTCCTGAAGGTGGCCAGTGGTCCGAGCCCAGAGATAAAGGACTTCTTTGTCGCCATCTATGCGTGAGCAGTGAACCCCAGCTGTCCGAACTTGGTGGGAAGAGGCAGGCCGAGAGCTGTGGGTGGGAGCTCAGGTTCCGGCTGGAGTGGAGCCCTGGAGGCATCTTCTCTACTCTCCCTTGGGGGTGGGTGGGGTGGGGAGCGGCAGGTGCTGCCTGGTTCCCCCAGACTGATGCCAGAGGGACCAGGTCCTGAAGAAAGTGGCATGCAGCTCAGTTCTGTCTGCCCTGGTTTTGCCAACAGCCTGTCTTTCTCCTTCCGGGGCACTAAGCTGTGTCCTCTCGTCTGACTGCCCTCTCCAGGAAATAGCTCCGTCCCTTTTCTCTCTAAGGCCTGCCTTCCGTCCTGGGAAGACCCCTTAGCCCAGGTTCCAGTGGGAGGATTTCTGTAGTGTTTCTGAGGTGGTTGGGTGCTCCTGGTGGGCAGTGGACGCTGAAGAGCCATGCCCAGGCCAGCCTGGTGATGCAGGAGCAGGGCTTGGCGGGTTGGGCAGTACTTTCCCCTTCCACATGCTGATCCCTGAGGCCTTGCCTCTGGGCACTGCTTTGGGACTTGAGTTTGCCCGGCCCTTCAGTCATTCCCGTGGTTCCTGGACGCCCCCCTGACCAGGCAGGGCCCTGGTGCAGAGGCACAGAGGAGGCCACTGCTGCTCTGGAACCTAGGGTGTAGGTGGGAGTGGGCGGGGCTGCAGCACTGGGAGGGTCCTTGGATTCCCGTGACCCCCGAGGGCCCCTTCTCCCACCACTCTCCTTCCTCTGGCCTCTGCACACAGACAAGGCTTCCCTTCTCTGTCCCTGCTCAGTTCTCAGGGCTCAGCGCTTCACTGTCAGGCCTCTGTCCTCCCTGGTGGGCTCCTTCCCCACAGGATTCCCCCCTACCCGGGCCTGTCAGTCTCCCAGGGGTCCCCTCGACCAACCCCTCTGTGCCACCGCCGCAGGGATCACTGGCTGGCGGCGCCCATGCAGCTCTGGCAGGTTCACCTGCACTCCCTGCAGCGTGTGGATGTCTCCTGTGTGACAGGCCAGCTGACCCGCCTGTCCCTGGTCCTCCGGGGGACACAGGCGGTTAGGAAAGTGAGAGCCTTCACCTCACACCCCCAGGAACTGAAGGTATGACCTGGCTGGGAGGCTACTGGCCTGTGCCTCCCCCCGCCCCCACCTCCTAGCTTGATCAGGATAGGCTTGGCCACTGCTGGGCAGGGCTCCTGGTGGGCTCTTATAAGGCCTGTTTTAATGAAATGTGTTCCTTACCTTACTGATAGTCACTCTGGGAGGGGGCGGGAGCTGTAGCTGTGCATCCCTGGGATGGCACTGCAGTCTGTACAGGTGTGAGCCCACCCAGAGGCCCCTCAGAAGAAAGGCCTGGTGATTCATGACAGAAAACTCAGCATAGACCCCTGTGGGGCCCATGTGGCCCAGAGTCTGCAGCATGGTGTTGAGTGGTTTTTGTTTGCTTTAATTTGTGGTTCTGGAGGGTGAGGGAGGTGGTGATGGAGGGGCAAGGGAGATGGTGAAAACGATGATGGAGGTGTGGTAAAGGCCCCAGGGGTGGCGGTGATGGGGGTGGTGATGGAACTGGTGATGAGTGTGGTGA